TCTCAAACGGTTAAGCCTACGTACCTTTCCCGTTTCAATGGTGAGAAATCAATACGAGTCACAGCACATTCCACTAAGCCTTTTTCAATCACATTCCTTGAAGTATGCTTCATTTGCGAATGACGTCGGTGCATGGCTTCGGTTAGGGACGAATATTTTTTCAATGTCAGTTTTTACGGCACTAAAATGAGTTCGATTGGAATAGACACATTTTGTCCACCAAAAGTGTTGATTAAGGGGCCTTTAGGCCAAAAAGTATTGGAGTTTAGGGCAAATTTGGTTTGCGCACACAAGAGTTTGATGTTGATTTAGCGACAATGGTTGCAAAGAAAGTTGATTATTGGATAGGCTTTTTAGGCCCAAAATGGGTGTTATTAGGGGCAATTTGTTTCGCTGAAAAGTGTTGAAACATGTGGAAAATGACGAAAGTACGGATGTTGGAGTACTCCAAAATGAATTGATTTACAGCTTTAGCCAAAAGATTGGGAGTCAATAAATTCAAGGCATTTTGGACAAAGCGCTTCGCGAGTTTACGAGTCGCATTTGTCCTAAAAATTTAAGCTAGATATCTGCATGTTATCACTGGTAAGGGTCCTGTTTGGCCCAAAGTAGTGATCAGACATCTAACTTGAATTGGCAAAATATAAGGCCCAATTTTTGGCACAAAAAACGCCACGTACGGCTAGAGGTTGAAGTTAAGGCTATTGAGCCACAAATTATTAATTAATTGGACTTAAGGCCGGGGACTGTTCGAAATAAAAAAGAAGCGGATTATACCTGATAGTCATTAATTGAAACCTAGATACTTTAAGCCAATATTAGAAGAAGATCCCAAAGAAAATTTAGTCTAAATTAACGATGACACCACTGCAAGATTAATGTAAATTAACACGGCATCTGCATTAAATCGCTTAATCAACAGGCCCGTAAATTATAATTAGAGGGCAGTTTTATTTGCCAAATTGATGAATGTGAATGCATTTATGCAGCAGTTTTAATTCAGAATTGCGGGAGTAGGAAAGAGAATATGCACAAAACTGCTCAAGTATGACATATAAGACAAGGTAACTGGGTTATTAGTCACATGAGTTAATTGCGGCCCGGCACTATCTTAGCACTTTCAGCTCTAGAAAAATTGCCAGATTAAGACCGCTCACCTCTGTTGGGGATATCAATTAACAAACTAATTCAATTTAAGTTGGACCAAAATATCGCTAACAACAGCAGAATACAAAAAAGCCTACACATAAATGCAGAAAAACAGTAAAAAGAAATGCCGCAAAGGGAGCGGTAGGGGAGAAGAAGGCGTCTGTAAACAACAGACTGAGTACACTAAAAATGGCCAAACCGTTGGGACGTATTATAAGGGGAAACCCAGGCTGGAAGGGCTTGGCTGCTGGGCCGTGGATCACGAGGGCTTGCCAGAGCGGGCGGGCGGTGCTGCACCGCCATGGAGGGCGGGCCTCGCGCCCTGACATTTCCAGAGGTCGCGTACACGGCGGCTGGCTCCCACGCCCTAGTACCTAGTGGCTAAAGCAGCGAGGACCTCTGCGGTCCGCTCGGTGTTGTTTTTTGGTTCCAGAGCTTTGTTTCGGAGAGGTTCCGTACCTCCCGAAAAAATATTCCGGGGACCAGGTTCCGACGATCCTCTGCCACATAATTTATTCGAAGTGAGAAATCAACCAAACGTTTTCACTCAGGTACCAATATTGGTATAGGGGCTCTGTTCGGTGATTTCCTTTTCCGGGAATGGCACGCCCGGAATGAAACACCGGCAACTGTTTGCAGTCCGGAGAAAATAGGCTTTTTTGAGGAACCTCAGAAATTTGAGTATTCACACTTGAAGTTTTAAGATGGAGCACCGGTAGGTAAAGCTGGTTTGGTGCAAAACATACTCGAGGCTATTTAGTGACAGAAGTGGCGACCGCGGAGTCCTTCTCCTTTACTACAAAACATATTTCTTCAATCTTATTTCACTTTTCTGAGCTACCCCTGCAATTGCTTGATTACATCATTCCAGCAGGGATGTTCAGTATTTCCCCAACAAAGCCCACCTTGATTGTTTGACACAGGTTTAGGAACGAATTATGTTCCTTCTATCAAACGCGCTGGTTTTGACTGCTGGTAAGAACGCGGAGAGAAGAATGTTGGATTTCTCTCTAGGGAGCCCCTAATCCTTGGGCGATGAGCAAGGCCACTCACAATCTGGCAGTAATTGTTTCCTATCTGAGCTTGCGGCGCAAAAACCACCGGGGCTCGATCTCACGCTATATCATTATCCCCAATTTCTACTGGATTCTGGATCAGAATCTGATACCGATGAAACTTGAATAACATACTGAACTGACTGGCAAATATCAAACAAAATCAAGTGAAGAGTCAGACTCTAGCACGCCCTAGCCGTGCTAGACAACACGCCCCTGCTACAAACACCCTGGACTTCCAGAGCCTAGCACGCCTAGACCGTGCTAGGGAGCACGCCCGTGCCACAATGAAGATATCAACCAAGGGCGTGCTCGCTGAAGCACGCCCGTGCTACAATTACTTGGACTTCCAGAGCCTAGCACGCCCTGCCCATGCTATTAAGCACGCCCGTGCCATAAGACCCCACTCAAGCGTGCCCTTGGGCACGGCCCGTGCTGATCCTTCCATAAAGCCAAGATCTAGCATGCCCAGACCGTGCTTCCCAGCACGCCCGTGCTAAAGACCAAAAGCTGATTTGAGTCAAAAAAATTGCCAACCAATTCCCACCATTTTCATGAGCTCACCTTGGATACTTTCTTCACATGCAAAGCAAGCTTTAATCTATGCACATGGGAAAGTCATGATTGAGAACTTTATTTCCCAACAAAGGTGGACTTTATTCCCTAAACTATGTGGATTTCCCTTCCAAGGAGTCTATATAAAGGGAAGAAGAGTTCATTGTAAAAGGCATCCCCATATCAATCCATCTCACACCATTCTACTCCAATCTATCTCATCTCATTCTCTTAGTCTAGTATATATAGTTTCATTTCTTCAAGAGTTCAAGTATTTCAAGAGTTGTGCAAAGATTCAAGGAAGCCATCCGGAGCCAATTGTTAACTAGTTCTTATTTCTAAACTAGTTCTTATTTCTAACTCTTAAATCTTGTTTTTAGTTTCTTTCCATTATTCTTACTGATATGGAATATTTAAACAAGTAACTCAACTGAGTTTTATTTAAGTTACTATGTCTAAACTAAACCTCTCATACTAAACTAGGGAATTGATCTATGCTTAATTCCTTTTCCAATTTATATATTTAGATTTAATTTTTCTTTGGTTCAAGTTATGATTTATTGATTAAACTTAATGCTTCCAGGCGCCAGAGTTTTCTCCCTGGATTGATTCTATTTCATTAATCCACTCATCGGAAGAAGGATTTTTGGATACGAAAAAAAGTTTAATGAAATCACAATGAGAATAATAACTTGATGCGCGAACGCCTTATTGGTTTGACTCATGGGGGTTTCCATTAATTAACACTTTCAATTTCATGAATTCATAAGCAAAGCAAACTAACACAAAACTTAATGTAATGATTTAATTCATGTTTGATTGTGCTATTGGAAGATAGGTAATTAAATGGAATTAAAATAGCTAACAATACATCGGGAGAGCTTGTTAGTGAACAATTAAAATTGATTAATGAACTAATAAAATAAATTGGATAGAATTAAGTGAAATCAAATTCCCCTAGTAGTTTTAAATTCTTGATTTCTTTAATCAATAATTGCTTGCTTGATTTCTTCTTATTTTTATTTGTTGAATTTAAATTCTTGAAACAATATCTTCATTTATCGTTTAAATAATAATAGGTTAACATAATTTTGGTACTTGGTATACAATCCTCGTGGGAACGATATTCTACTCGGTTAACATAATTTTGGTACTTGGTATACAATTCTCGTGGGAACGATATTCTACTCATCATATATTACTTGTGGCGATTTCGTACACTTCCAAAAACCATTGTCAGGGATCATCAAATCAGACTTGGAATTTAATTATAGTTAAGACTCTTCGCCCCTCCTGCAGGCACTACAAGAAAATTGCCGAATAGCTTCGGATCTTTAGCAACGGACTTATCTGTTGCCAAATAGAAACGGATAACAAACGGACAATACACTCCAATTTCTGATTAACTTTAGGAACGGATTGGAGACGGATTGAAAACGTATTATTTAGAAACGGAAATTTGCGTTGCTAATGTTGGCCAGAAATTAGAGCACGTAACCGAGGTACGGATAAGAACGGAGTTAGAAACGGATATCAAATCCGTTGCTCAAATCATTGTGAAAAGTATCCTGCTTCTTAGCCACAGATTAGGTACGGAGTAGAAACGGAAAATAGAAACGACCTTTTCATCCGTTGCTAATAGTTTTCCACATATTTTGTTATATCTGTGTTTAAATTTATTATTATTTATTTAGAAATACTATATCATGAATTAAGTAAAAATTTGAAAATAATAGTTGGAGTAAAAATATAAATATTTTAACCCAATATTGCATTGAAAAATTTGGTATTATTTTCAAGTTCAAGTTATTTTAATTTTTAAATATTTTTTAACTCTTGTTGGTATTTATATGAAGGAAAAAAGTAATCAAAACATTTTCTCCTCTTAATTTAATTTTAAAATAAAATAAAAACTGAAAAAATCTTAATTGAAATGAAAATTTTTATTTTTGTTGATATTTGTATAAAGGAAAAAAGTAATCAAAACCTTAATTATTTTGATTAAAATAAAAAAAAATGTTTTTTGGGTGTTAGTAAGTGGAAAGAAAGTAGTGGTCTAGAGAAACATATATAATTTCACTCTCTGCCATTTACAACACCTCAAAAACAACTAAACCAGGGCAACTCTCAACACCTCACGCTCCTCTCTCAACTGCGGAGTCGTAGGTGTTGTTTGAGATTTTAATACGCAAGTCATTCCAAAAAAAAAAAAAAAAAAAAAAAGGAACTTAAAACTGCGTCATTTAGCCTATCTATCAAATCCCTAGGTCCTTCTAATCGTTCTTCTTATCGATTGATGTCAGGTGACTTCCCATCTTTGTTCAGAAGTAATAGGAATGTGACTTCCCTCAAGTAAGAGACCCTGCTTGCTTATCAATCACAGAGCTCTAGTTCTCCATCCATCTTAAGCAGCAAATCGCCATTTTTTTACTGGTAAGCTTACTTTCCCTTTTTTCCCTTTTCCTCTTTGTTTAGTAAACGCCTTGAAAATCTGTGTTTGAATTTGTTTATAATCTGTGTTTGAAAATATTCCTTTTTCTCTTTAGTAGAGGTCTCTTTACATGCAGAGCCTCTTTTCTTTTATTTTGTTCATAATCTATGTTCTTTGCATTTTTCTCATAATTTGAAAATCTGTGTTTGTTTGCAATTAGCAAACATGCAATGATATTAGCAAGAGTTTATGAGAATGGAATGATATTAGCAAGAGTTTATTAAATCTGTGTTTGTTTCTACGAAGGAATTGAGGAGTTTCTACGAAGGAATTGAGGATGCTGGATTGTATGGTTGGCCTCCATCTCCATAGACTCTGTTTCTATCTTCTGTTCAGTTTTCTATTTCCAGCTCTAAATGCATCTACTAGTACTTCCTTTATTCTCTATATGAACACATATGTTTCAATGGAAATGAATTCGTATGCTTTGTGTCACTACCTGTTATCTAAAAGTTTTCTCTCTTTTAGAAATGAATTTGTACTTCCTTTATGAATTTGTATGCTTCGTATCGCACGTGTACGAGGGGCTTGGTTTGAGTCCTAGTCACAGTTCTCCAATGGTTTGAGTCCTAGTCACAGTTCTCCAATATGGGTGCTTTGGCTTGACAGTTAGACAACCCTTCTAACAATTAATTAACTGTATAACTTTTGAGATATCTTCTGCTGTTGTTGTTGCCTGACAAGGGTTAACCCAACTGATATTTTAGAAGAAATGGCCCACTCATATATTTAATTTGTAGGGGGCTAATTATTGATATGCTCATTGATGACTTTGTGCCCAGGTTGCTTCTTCTAAGCAAACAACTTTTAATCTTAAACCCCACCAATCACCATACTACTTCAACAGCAGGGAATAGTTGAAATTTAGCTTCTCTTTCCTTGGTACAATCAATCAAAGCCAAAAGGCAACTAGCTTAGGCTTGCTTATTTAAATACTATAATAAGAGACTATAATTTTTTATTTTTATAATTTGGGAATTGTTTTTTTTTTTGCTAATTATTTATTAATTATGTATTTTGACTAAATAATTAAATCTCTCTAATTAAAGATCTGTAGACTATAATCTTGGTGTTGCAAGGTTTTGAATTGAATTTGAGATGGGATCTTGGTGGGTCCAATCCATTTAGAAAAGGGTTCACAATACTTTGGGTAATCTTAGAAAATATACCATTGTCAACAAGTTCAATTTAGCAAATGTATCATGTCTATATAGGGATTTAGATTCTCTAGGAAATGACATTTGTATTTCTTTTACTTTAAATTATATTATAATAAAATTTCTAAAAGTTATCCTCTTTTCATGTTTTCACTATAAGTAAACCGCCCAATTTAGTCCTAGTATAGAATTATGTTTTCATTTCTATTTAATGTATTTTATTTTCATTTCTATTTTACGTTTTAATTTGACAAATAAATTTAATATAGTTACTGTATTTAATTTAATGCAAGTTGAAATCTTTTCTTTAAATAACAATATCAGGAAAAATGAATTCAAATCGTGAATGGATGTATAGAAGTTTAACAGATGGTCTACCAAATAAAGAATTTAAGATGGGTATCCTAGAATTTCTTAATTTTGCTTGGAATCATGTGGAAGGTAGGGATGGTGATAATATAAGGTGTCCATGTAATAGGAGGAGATGTCGAAACCGGAACTTCGAAGACATGTTTATAGTTGAGAAACACATATTTAAACACGGTTTCGTACCAGGCTATTATGTTTGGACCATGCATGGGGAAGCTGAAGTTATGGCAAATGGCGACCAGCCAGAGGTGAGGGATCAAATTATGAATGATTCATCAGGAAACCTGGTGCATTTGACGAGCCTTCTACTGAATATCATAGAATGGTCCATGATGCTGCTGGTCCCTCATTTAATCCCAATGATATGGAAGAAGCACCAAACCTAATGCCCAATAATTTTATAGTTTGTTGAGTTCTGCAAATGAAGCAGTATGGCATGGTTGTGAAAGTCATTCTAAGCTGTCAGCTGTTGCGTGTATGTTGCACATAAAGTCAGAACATCAGCTCTCCGAAAGATGTTTTGATGACATGTGTCAATTAATGAAAGAGTTGATGCCAAGGGATAACGTTATGACACAATTTCTACCAAACAAAGAAGCTAGTTCAAGGTCAAAACATGCCTGTTCAAAAGATTCATAGTTGTAACAACGGGTGTATGATTTATTTGGTTGAAGACAGTGACTTGACTTATTGTAAGTTCTGTAATCAACCACGATATAAGCCAACGACACATCCTTCTGCTAATCAGAAATCTCTTGTTCCTTACAAACGGATGTATTAGTTCCCCATCACTCATAGGCTAGCTATCAATGAATTGTATGGCATCTAAGCAGAGCATATGAGATGGCACGCTGAGCATGCAACTGAGGAAGGTGTGATGCATCATTGTTCAGACTCAAAGTGTGGTTACCACAGCCACAACAACAGCCACAGTCACAGCCACAGCCATAACAAACGCTACAGTCATAGCCACAGCAGCAGCAATTGCCACAACTCCCACCACCACAGCAGCAATTGGATCCAGCGGGTTATGAATGGAAGTTTGTGCCTACAGAAACGAAGGACATATACTAGCAAGAGTTTAAGGTGTTGTAATATATTCTTTTCCTCCCCTTAGACTATATTTTCATCAACATATTATATGACTTTAGCTCAATGATAAACTACGTGTATAATCTGAATTTTTTTTAAGTAGACATATCATCCCATGACTGTGTTTTGATTTTTCTTACTTTGCTTTGGCTTATAGAATATTAATGAGCTTGATAAATGTGTCCATTTTATGTGTGTTTTTTTGTGCTTTATGGCCTTAGAAACATTTTGTGTGAGATGAGGAGATTGATGCATCTGTAAAAAAAATCTGGAGTAAGAAGGCTCTAGAGCCCTATAGGGGCATGCTTGGTAAACGGTGAAAGAAAAAGCCTAAATACATCCCTAATGATATTTCGAATAGCTGGAAGCCTCATTGGGAGACTCCTGAATTTAAAATAAAGTCTGAGAAGTGTTCAAAGAGTTGCCTTACCGAAATTGGTGGCCCAGGGTCTGGTCCTTCGCGAATAAAGGTGCTGGTCCTTAACGAGTATAGGAGGTTCTCCTCTGCATCTTATAGTACATGCAAAACGTTTGGTATATTCTTTTTTTCTATAAAAATTAAATTTAATGATAAGTTATCTAGTTTGCTCAAATGAAAGTACTACCCTAATCTTGGTGCTTTAATATGGGGAAAATTATAATATTGTCCCTATATTTTGTCAAAATTAATTACTTTTCCCTTTTTTTTTTAATACACTACTTTATCCCTATATTTTTTATCATTGTACACTTCTTCCATCAAAAAATTTAACTTTTTTCCGTTAAGTTTGCATTTTCTACCAAATTTAAATAAATTAAAAAATAAATTAAAAGAACATGTAACTAGACATCTTCTCCGGTTAAAAGAGGTTTCTAATTGTGAAGAATATTTTTGTGATTAAAGAAAAAGAAGGTATTTAAAAAAACTATATTAAAAAAATAAACACAAAAAGGAATTTTTAGCAGTCTTCCAATAAGCCAAACAATTTGGTGTCACTGGTTAAAAGACTATTTTTACTAATTACTAGCTATAATTTCCCTTTGGATCTTACGTCATTTCACTATTTTTCAACCAGTATTGAACCATTATAACATACAAATGTAATAGCAAGTGATTATGATTCCCTCTAAGGCGGTTCTTTCCAACTCAATCAGTAGTATGGTACACAACAACATCCAGACACAAAATTTTAAAAGAGATTTTTTGATTTTTATAATTTTCTGCCCTCATTCAAGTGTTTTTCGATTAAAATCACACTTCAGAAAGCCAAGAGAATTATAAAATGCTAAGAGGGTTTATATGAAATATATAGAAATTCAATAAAAAAAAAGTGTGAACAGGAAGAGAGAAGAATGAAACAGGAAGGATAGGAAGCAGAAATGAAGCAATTGACAAAAGATATTTTAGTCCTTTTCTTTTAAAATAAACAGAAGAATGAACATGGAGAGGAAATAGCGAAAATAGTATATGAACGAAATTTAATACTGAGGACGAAAATATAGTATATTTTAATATAAGAGAGGGACAAAGTATATTATTTTGGCATAATAATATATAAGATAAGTTTATTATTTTCCCTTTATAATTACGAGATAAAAATTAACATGTGTAACTTTGGTAGTAAATATTAAATGTGAGAAACTTTTATTCGCGCAGCTCCTCCTGCTAAACTGTAGTTCCGCACAACATTATTTCAGTCACATTGTATACCTGCCTATGTATTCCTAAAAAACAAATCCTCAAAATGTGTTCTACTATTATTTTTTAGAGATCCAATTATAGGTGATTCTACTCTATGTTATTTTTGTTAGAAAATCAATGTGTTCCAAATCATTTTTCCTTAAGATGTGGTTTTTTGAAAAGATGAACAATATTGTTATGTAAAGTGGAATGAAGTGAAGTATATAAAAGTGAATAAGAAGAGAAAATATTGGGATTTGAAAAAAAATTTAGATAATAAATTTTTAATGGATCGACAAAAAATTATCTTTAAAAGCTTTTGAATACATTAGTTTGAAAAAAATGAAAAAGTAATTTAAATTGTGACTGGTTACAACTAGTTTCGTTATTTTAATAAATAAAAATAAAGCGTACAAAATATATTATAAAAATTAATAAAATAGAAAATTTAGATTTAAATTTAATGTCCTATTGTAGAGTTTAATATATAATAACAGTCACTATAGTAATACTTATATATAATTAAAGCTATAAATATTTATAGTATTATTAGGATAAGTATAGATCCACTTATTGTATGAAAATTTGTCGTTAAACCTTAAAATATGATTATAAGAGATAATTTGTATATTATTGCTTTATTTATTCATATTAAATGTTCCTGGTATCACGTGTACTCCGAACATTCATTCGAATGATTTTATTATATCTATCTAATTGTTAATATATTAATTTTTATTATATTAATTATTAATTATATATTAATCAATGTTTATATTGTTATTAATTATATAATTAAATTTAATTTTTTCAAAAAAAAAAGTTAAAATAATATATGAACAATAATTCCTTGGTAAATAATAAATATTGTGAAAAAATTATTAATTAATAATGAGGCACTTAGCGATAACATGGCACCTATCATCAATTTTTAAAATACTAGTCATCTCATTTAAAATATAAGTTTATATTTGAAAAATCTATTTACCCTTCTTCCAAATCTTTATGAAAAGATACTGGAGATCATAAGACAATATGTTAAAGAAAATTAAATAATACAAGATCTTAGATGAAGACTCCAAACTTAATATAAAGTCAAAGGAATATTGTAACATAGAAAGGTAAGTAAACAATGTGGTGGATCACACTACAACTTTACATAGTAAACCCAAGCTTGTTAACGCCCCTAAAAAACTTTTGAATCTTAATGAATAAATGTTATTTTTATCGGGTCCTGAAATTGGCTGCTAAAGAGAGGGCGGGATAAAATATTTTTATTATATATAAATACTAGAAAAACATAATACAATATCGTCTTACTAGAGAAGCTGTTGTGAACCACTCAATTACTTCTAATTTTATAATTGCTCATGTTTATGTATTTGTATGTGAAGTTAAACGGTGTCTTTCCGGCAAACGTGAATGTGGGCAAACTGCCGTCGTCGAGGTCTCACGGACTGGGCGGAGGGTGTTACAAAGCTTGTTCGGCGCAATAATGGATTTTAATATAAAACATTGTGTCTAATTATTCCAACAAAACATGAATGTAGATAACCACACAAGCTCACATAAATAATATTCATGTCGATGAACCCACTATTGGTCCTATCAATGTGAATTATTATTGGGTCATGGGTGTATGAGGTATGTCTGCAATAACCAAGCTTTTGGTCCAAGTGGCCAATCCACAGTAGAAAGGATTCCTCAATAGCTGCCTTCATTCAAATGTCCAGAATGTGTGGGCATCTCTTGTAGGTGATCTTACCAGATAAGTTATTTTTGAAATGCTACAACACTGAAAAGCTTTCTAGAATAAGTAATATAGATGATATTTGAGAAGCGAATTCCCTTCCAAATTGTTGTAAGTATAAGATGTAAAGTGCTCTTCGCAGATTGACCTCAAACTTTGAAAAATGTTTAAATTTGAATTGATGCAATTCAAAATGTACTTGTGTGGAGTTTTTTATAGGTAGAGTTAACATTTGAATTATATCAAATCTCCAATCAAATGGAATTCTCTCAAGAAAGAATTATTAAAATAAAAGATAGATCAATGCCCTGAGAACAAGTATTGTGGAGGTAGTGCTTGGTTGATAAAATAGAAACATGCACATTCTTAGTCTTGTAAACTTACCAAGTAGGTGTGAGTAAGGACCAAGGATAGAGCCACAGGGCAGAAAGGGGTAACCGCTCACATAGTAAGACACAGACAAAGGAGAGAGTATGAGTCCAGAAAGATTATAGTGTAGAGAATCAATGAAGCTTAAGGTTTATATTCAAGTTTCATAATTGAGTTGGAATGTCCGCAACAACCTCTCAAATATTAGATATACTACTATAAACGTGAATGACCATTCATTTCAGATTGTTTGGCTGATCCGTCATGGAATTGGTTTTTCCTATTAAGGTTTAATTGCTTGAGCTAAGAATCTTAATCATAAATAAATGAAAGCACTCATTAAAACTTACATCACTTCTTAAGTTATTGTGGCTAAGATCTAACATAAATAATGAAGAGTCACCATTAAATACATCACTCAAAGATCCTTGCAAAGTGTTCTTTGAAAGTTTGAGTTCATATAATGAGATACAACCTACGGTCAATTGCTTAAGTATACTTCTTGATAATCTATTGTCAGATAAGTCCAAACTTCCCAATAAGCTCATATTTCCAAATGAATGGGGAATATTCGCATTCAAACCATTCCCCCTCATGTTTAAACCCATTAATCTTGACAAATGTGTCCCAATTTTTTTTGGGATTGATCCATACAGACTATTGTCAGAAATATCCAAGAATGACAAATTCGGAGGAGAATGAATAGGTAACTGG